CTATCATCCTCCGATCATCATCAGCATCAGCATCAGCATCAGCATCAGCATCAGAAGCAGCATCAACATCAGCATCAGCAGCATCAGCATCATCAGGATCAGCATCAGCATCAGCATCAGCATCAGCATCAGCATCAGCATCAGCATCATCACCACCATCATCATCATCATCATCATCATCATCATCATCATCATCATCATCATCATCATCATCATCATCATCATCATCATCGTCGTCATCGTCATCGTCATCAGCAATATCAGCATCAGCATGAGCATGAGCATCAGCATCATCAGCAACAGCAGCAACAGTATCATCGTGATTATACCCTATACGATACACTACATCGCCAGCATCGTCATCATCATCAACATAATCAGCATCATACTCATCATCAGCATCAGCAGCAGCATCAGCATCATCATAATCATCATCACCATAATTGTTCATCATCATCATCAGCAGCAGCAGCAGCATCAGCATCACCACCACCATCAGCATCATCAGCATCATCAGCATCGTCGTCACCATAACTTCTCATCATCTTTTCCTCTTCAGCATCGTCATCCCCAGCAGCAGCAGCAGCGTCCTCATCAGCATCAGCATCAGCATCATTACCATCATCAGCATCATCTGTTGCATCGTCATCAGCATCCTTTCACTGTCATCATCAGCAGCATCAGCATCAGCATCCGCCTCATCATCATGATCATCACGATTATCGTCATCAGCATCAGCACCATCATCATTGTCATCAACAAGCAGTATCATCGTCATGTTTACCATCGTCATCACCATCAAAAACATGAGCATCAACATCATCGTCAACGACAGCATAATAATCATCATCATCATCATCAACAGCAGCAGCAGCAGCATCTTCAATTTCAGCAGCATCCTAATAAGCAGCAGCAGCATCAGCATCATCATTAGCATCATCATCCTCATCATCAGTATCATCATCATTGCCATCATCATCAACCACATCAGCATCTGCCATATGCCCCTCCTCCCCTTCATCTCTACATTCGAGAACGTATTCCGATCGTCGTCCTCCTCTTGCTCCACGTTCTTTCTCGACAGGGCGCAAGGCCGTGGCTCGCCCGAAGAGGGCTCGGAACGAGCACAGGCCAGGAGGCACAGAGGGCACTCACGAGCCACTGCAAACCCGCCTCACCGCCCAAAGCCTCGGCATCGAGCGAACGGGCGGCCCTTCCCAGGAGGCTCAGAAGGCCTCCTGGCCTCCTCAGAACCTCCCGAAGCCTTCTCCGAAGCCGCGGTCGGCTTCTCGGAAGGCCAGAGGGCTCCTGAGAAGCCCCGCCGCCTCCTGAGAGGGCCTGCCCCCTCTCGCTTCCCTCCTCGGCGCGCCGCCGAACCCGTGCCTCGCCCGCCCCGACCCACGGTGGCGTCAAGACTGCACGTCCGACCGCGCTCGCGCCGCCGCTCCACGCCCCGCCGCCGGCGCACGGACGCAGGCTGCTCCACCTCCCGGGCTGTGCGCGGGAAGCACAGGGCCCTGGCCGTCCCTCGGCCGCGCTCTGCGCGCGCGTGCTCTCAAGCGCCCGGGCTGCTCTGGACCACTCTGCCCGACCCCGCCGCGTCGCCGCGGGCGCGGCCCGTCGACCCGGAGCGCCGCTCGGCGAGCGGGCCCTCGCGGTCGCTCGGGCGGGGCACTCGTGCGCGCGCTTCCTGTGCCCGCGGGGGGTGCTCCGCACGGCTCCGCGGGGCGGCCCGCAGCAGTCCGAGCGGAGCGAGTGGATCCACGAGGATACGAACAGGAACAAAAACAGCAAAAAAGGCCGAGCGACGCCAAGGGCCCGCCGACCAGGAGCGGTGCTCATCCGGCGCGGCGTCTCGCGGGTGGCCAGCTCGCCAGGGGGCCGCGAGGCCAGAGCCCAGAGCGTCGCGCGAGGGCCGCGGGTCCTGCTGGTGCGGCAGGCGGATCGTCGTCTGCGCGGTGCGTCGGCCGGCGGCTGCAGCAGAGGCGGATCACCCAGGTGGGAGCACTCCATGTACACCCTGCGAAATGCTTAAGAACTCATGGGTTAAGAAATTCAGAGTCTCAGAACTGGAATAAAAACCCAGAACTTCTATCAAAATCTTGGGATTTACATTGACAAGTTAAGAATAATCAAGACTCTGGCCGAAAACTTAGGTTTTCTTAAGCATCGCCTAAGGTGTACTTAGGAACTCCGATCGCTGACATCTTCAACGAGGCTTCCTGGCGAGTACGCGCAACGCCCGCCCCATGGAGCTCCGATCGCCGACGTCTTCGACGAGGCTGCCCAGCGAGAACATGCAATACCCGCCCTTGGAGTTCCGATCGCTGATGTCTTCGACGAGGCTCCCCAGGGAATACGTGCAATGCCCGCCCTTGCGCTGTCCACCCCTCGTGCCTCCGCCGAAGCAAACGACTGGCACTCGAAGGCCCGATCGCGCCTGTGCGCGCCTGGCGAGGGTCTCCGCAATGGCCGCGCACGTCCACCTGAGTCCAAAGACCCGTACCTATGAGACGCTGACGGTATACTCTTAGTATGCGCCTCACCTTGGAGGCGCACGTCCAAACCAGACAGATAGCACAAGCATGTTACACTATATCGATGTCCAGGTGGTATAACCACATAGCACGCGCCATCGAACACATACAGTCAGATTTCTGAACGCGCGCCTTCTCGAGTTCGATGTTTGGTTCCGAAGAGCCCCATAGGCCCAAGACGACGACGACGACGACGACGACGCCGCCGACGACGAGATTGGAAGTGAGGCTGTGTGGTGCGCGCAGGCGTTGCGGTGCACGCCACGCTGTCGTCGTCGTCCTCCTCCTCCTCCTCCTCCTCCTCCTCCTCCTCCTCCTCCTCCTCCTCCTCCTCCTCCTCTTCCTCCTCCTCCTCCTCCTCCTCCTCCTATTCATCTTCCTCCTCCTCCTCCTATTCCTCCGCCTCCTTCTCCTCCTTCTTCTCCTCCTCCCCCTCGTCGTTGTCGTGCTGTCGTTGTCGGTCGTCGTCGTTGTCGTTGTCTTCGCACTAGCGAAGCGCATTGTGGTCACTCGCAAGCCGCTGCGGTGTTCGCAAGCGCCCTGCCGTTGCCCCTAGACCTTGCGCGTGTGATCGAATCGTATACCACGGTTGTGTTCGCAAGCACACCGTGACGTTCGCGCGCATACAGCGGCGATCGCAGTGCAACCCGCCCCAACGCGCCCCACCCCGCCGAAGCGTTACTGCTACCCGGAGCCCCAAAGCCCCCTCCCTGGATAACGACCCTTATGAAAGCGCGACTGCCGCTGCTCGTTTCGCGCGGCGGCCCTGCAAACTCAAAGCGAGGCCCCCGCACCACAGGACACTTGGGAATGAGTGCGACAAAAAACTGTGAATAATGACTATTTGAAAAAAATCACTTGGAATATAAAACCTGTCAAAACAGCTACCGGAATAAATGGGTAAACAAATTTAGAAATGCTGACTGAATTTACAAAAATGCAAACACTGCATAAATACTATGTTTTGTTTTCACGCATTCTCGATCCAACATCCGTTGCGACAGTGATCACTGATTTCGAATTTTTCCCAACCATCCTGTAATGTTGGGCCCTCGTTTTGACGAGATGGTCCGCGCGTTCCCTCCTTCCGTCCTCCCTCCTCCCCCTCCCCCCTCCTCTTTCCTCCCTGCGCTTCACCCACTCAGTACAGCGTTTCGTGGCCCCATACGGAGCTTCAGCGACACCCCCGGTGCCACCGTCCGCATGCGTCCCGAGACACCAAACTCGGCACATTCACCCACCCAATACGACGCTTCGTGGCCCCATTGGGAGCTCCACCGAAGCCCCCAATGCCACCGTCCGCACGCGCCCCGAAACACCCGATTTAGCTTTTTTTATCCACCAAGTACAGCGTTTCGTGACCCCATAGGGAGCTCCCCCGAAATCCTCAGTGTCACCGTCCGCATGCGTCCCGGAACACCCAATTTGGCATTTTTCACCCACCCAATACAGCGCTTCGTGACCCCATAGGGAACTCCACCGAAGCCCCCGATGCCACCGTCCGCATGCGTCCCGGAACACCCAATTTGGCATTTTCACCCACCCAATACAACGCTTCGTGGCCCCGTAGCCCGTAGTGGAGCTCCACCGAAGCCCCCAATGCCACCGTCTGCACGCCTCCCGAAACACCCAATTCGGCATTTTTTATCCACCCAGTACAGCGCTTCGTGACCCCATAGGGAGCTCCACCGAAACCCCCAGTGCCACCGTCCGCGTGCGCTCCAGAACACCAACTTTGCATTTTTACCCACCCACTACAGCGCTTCGTGGCACCATCAGGAGCTCCACCGAAACCCCCAGTGGGACCGCCTGCATGCGTCCCACACACCCAATGTGGCATTGTCACCCACCCAGTACAACGTTTCGTGGCCCCACAGGGAGCTCCACCGACGGCCCCAATGCTACCGCCCGCATGCGTCCCCCCCACCCAGTGCAGCGCTCCGTGGCCCCATACGGAGCTCCACCGAAGCCCCCAGTGGGACCGCCCGCATGCGTCCCACGCACCCAATCTAGCATTTTCACCCACCCAGTACAACGATTCGTGGCCCCATAGGGAGCTCCACCGACGGCCCACTTGCTACCGCCCGCATGCGGCCCCCCCGCCCAGCGCAGCGCTCCGCGGCCCCAAAGGGAGCTCCACCGAA